GGGGGGGGGATGGATTGATAGCAGACAGAAAGGGTTTCTCTGGAGGAAATTCCTGCTTCAGCCCTGCTCTGCCTCCTTCCCTGGTTCCAGAGCTCTCCTCAGTGCCACCAAGCCAACGTCATCTTCAACCTCCTGCGCCTGCTCACATGGGACCTGAAGCTGGTGGCTCACTCCGGACCTTGTCTCTGATCCCCCCACGGCCCCACTGGGAGAGAACCTGTGGTTTGCAGGCCGCTGGCTTGGAGGGCAGCTCTGCGTTGCGCTGTCCTTGAGGCCAGTCTCCAGCCAGTGGGCGCTGACGCTCAGGAGACTCTGCTGTCCCAACCTCGATGGCCTGCCCTGGGTGCACGATGCAGTGCGGGTACATTTCCAAGGACAACAACCTGTCCCCCGGAAGCAGGGACATTTCTGGGGAATGCATTGCCCTAAGGTCTTCCAGGGGCCTTGTCTGTCAGGAAGAGACTTGAGTCCTGGGTCCACCTGGGTCGCTGACCCCTCTTCCATGGACCAGTTTCTACTTCTCTGGTTACCAGAAGCCCAGGACCCTGTCTCCCATGGCAGGTCCCACGCCCTGATTGGAACCTTTAGAGTCTGCCTGGAGATTCTATGAATCTGTGACTCCTGGGGAGGCCTCATCCCCTAAGGGATTTGGCAGTGAAAGGGCCCAAAGTCCTTAGGTTACTGCAGTATTTTGGATTCTGTTACCCATGTGTCTTTTGTATTTGTGAAATCCCTGTGTAATTTGCTATTCTGTCTTCCCATGTTAATTTATTGCCATTATTAAATATTCTTGCATTTACATTGATTGTCCCCCTGTGATTATTCTGAGGGGAACTTTTGAGTTAAAAATGTTGAGCCAGAGAAATCAGGTGACTTGACTTTCAATTTGGACCTTGCCACTTAATTATGGTGTGACTGGGCAAATTACTTCTCTCTGAGCCTCAGTTTTGTTATCTGTACAATGGAATAATTATCTTTCCCTTGAAAAGGAGTAACGTCCATTGAAATCCTGTGTATAAAGCTTCCAGCTGAGGCCATAGGATGGTCTTAATTAATGGTCTCTATTAAATAACCACACACATAAATACACAAACAATTGCACTTTTTTACTTGTCCAAGTCTATGGGCTGGGGATCTTTGCTGCTAACTGCAGGGCTCTCTGCCAAGGTCACACAGCTAGTGAGGGTCAGAGCCAGGTCTGAATCTCACACCTTTAGCTCCATAGCCCATGCTCTTAACCACCTCACTGAACTTCCTCTAAGAAAAACAAGAATGAAGTTTAGGAATTTTGAGATCCTATGTCCATTTTCAGAATTCACTGTTGATGCAATGCCCCCTCCCCTGGGTTAAGGCCCCTGCAATGGACAGAAACTGCCCAATACCCTGGAAGGTGACTTGGGCACATTTCTGCTCTTGGCTTTGAGTATTTCTGTGCATCAGAGCTCAATATTCCGAGTTCCAAATTCTGTCCACTCTCTCCCTGGAATTATGAATAATGGGAAAAGGGGTTGGGGTGGGAGTCAAGTGTCAAAAAGCCCTTGGCACCTTCTGTGAAAGAAATTCACCTCTGTGTCCTGGAGATGTAGCTACACAGAAGCTGGTGGGTATAGTGGTTATTGTCTGGGTGTCAGAGAAAACTTGGTTCACATCCTGCCCTCACCACCTATTTGCTGTATGACCTTGGGCAGGTCGCTTAACCTTTGACTCCATGTATTTTTCCCCATATTTACTTACTTTTTCAAAAAACTTTATTTTTAAAACACATGACAACACTGACTGACTCACTCTACCAGGGTTACTTCATATTTAAAATGTAGGCAAAGTACACTGTGCCCTTGATGTCATCATGGGTTCAATACTACACTGTGGCAAAGCCTAGGTGATGGGGTGACACATACAGCAGTGCTTGCCAAAGAGGGGGCGTCTTTCTTTTCCTTCTGCGTTGACTGCTCCCCCTCAGATCTTCATGTAGCTCCCCCTCACTGCCTTTAAGCCTTGACTCAAATGTGATTTTTCAGCCCCCTCAGTCAGTGCAATCCCCTCATATGGTCAGCTGTGACCCCACTTTAGTTATTTCATTTTCCGTTATCTTTTCTAATGTACATGTGCTTAACCCTGTCATCCCCCCCCCCTCTAGTAAAAAGCTCCACGAGCCCTGGCCAGTGGGGCTCAGTGGTTGGAGCGTCGCCCGCTGGGCAAGGTTGCCGGTCAGGGCCCAGGCCCAGGTTTTGAGCTCGACTCACAGCCAGGGCAGGTGCGGGATGCCAGCGATCCATTTTTCACTCTCACATCCATGTTTCATTCTCACATTCATGTCTCTCTCTCACATCCGTGTTTCACTCTCTCTCTGCCCCTCTCCCTTCCTCTCTCCCTTCAACACTTTCTGAAAACCAATGGGAAAAATATCCTCAGGTGAGGATAAGCCCGCACCCCCAACAACGAAAAGGCTCCAGCAAGTGTTGTTTTATGGGATTTTTTTCAAGGCTCTTTTCCTGGCACCTTGAGCAGAGCCTGACACAAAGTGGGGCCTGAGTAATACTTGGTGAATGAATGAAGATGTTTGTCACAAACTGAGCAGGGTCCCTTGAAGTCCTTGGCCCCGTCCCAGTTCCCTAGCAGAGCCTCCTATTCCTGGGTCCCTCTGTGTCTAGACAATTAAAGACGTTAGTCAAGCCCCTGCCTGCACTGGGGTATCCTGCAGAAAGACAGGTCCCTCTGTCCCCTCCCATCAGGGGCTGAGGCTGCTCCTCCGGAGACTCCTCTTAGGACGTCACTGCAGTGGGTGCACCTGAGCCTGCGTCACTTTCTCTTTCCCTCCAGCTGCTCACCTGGCCCCAGGCCCCGCCCCCACGGGCTTCCCCAGCCCCGGGCTCCCCTAGTGGCTGGTGTGTTTTCCCTTTTCCTACATCAGCTGGGATTGCCCGGGTGTCCAGGCTAAAAGATGCACCAGGGAGCTCAGGCAGGATTCACATCGCAGCAGAGATGCAAGTTCAGACACACACAGAGCAGCGGCCTGAGACCCAGAAGAAGAGACTGAGGTCTGGACACCAAACAAGGCTGAGTGAGACCTGGGTGACAGCCTCTGAGAGGACACTTGGATCCCCACCTGCTGAGAAAAACCCGAGACCAGAGGCCAGGATGAAGCTGGGTGAGCCCCCATCATTGTCCGCGACCCCCTCCCACAGCCTCCACCCGCAGCCCCTGAAACTGTCCCCTCATCTGTCCATCCTTCCCTAACACAGACTTGACTGTGGGTTGCACGCTGGTGCTGCTGCTGCTGACCGCGGTGCTGAGCGGGGCAGGAGCCGTTCCTGTCCCTGAGCCCCTCAGGACGCTCCCGGGTGCAAGGGGCTGCCACATGGCCCAGTTCAAGTCTCTGTCCCCACAAGAGATGAAGGCCTTCAAGAGGGCCAAGGACGCCTTGGTGAGTGTCCCCACTGCCCCACCTGCTGTGGGCTAGCCTCCCCGCTCCCTCCGTGGGTCACAGGGCTCCATGTGGCTCAAGGTGGACCTGGACCCTCCTTGTCTGGCTAAGGTCCAGCCTTCCCACAGGGCTCTGTCCCGCTCTGGCTGCAGGGCGCTGACTCGGGTTCTTCTGCATGGGAGAAGCCTCTGCCATCCTTTGGGGGTTAAGGCCCTGCTCCTGTGTTAGCCCCCCTCCAACCCCACTGCAGAGGTCAAGCTGCAGCCCAGGCTGTGGCTGACCTGTGCCCTTGCCGTCCAGGAGGAGGCGCTCCTGCTGAAGAGCTGGAGCTGCAGCGCCCGCCCCTTCCCCAGGACCCGGGACCTGAGGCAGCTGCAGGTGAGTTGGGAGAGTCAGGCCCAGCCCTGCCCTCACCTGGGCCCGCTCCTCTGGCTCTGAGGTGGCCCCTTCGCCGCCTCTTCTCACTGGCCCTGTCTCTCTGTCCCCCCAGCAGGCCCCTGGCCTCCTCCCCTGGCCTGCCCACATTGGCCTTCCCTGTCCCCTCTCTCCTGACCTTGCCCTTCACCTGCTCCCTCCTGGGTCCTCCTCACCTGACCCTCCTCACCTGTCCTCTCACGTGCAGCTCTCACCTGTCCCTGTGTCCCCTCCTCAGGTGTGGGAGCGCCCTGTGGCCTTGGAGGCTGAGCTGGACCTCACACTGGAGGTCCTGGCGACTGTGGCTAACTCGACCCTGGGGGACATCCTGGACCAACCCCTTCACATGCTGCGCCACATCCACTCCCATCTGCAGGCCTGTGTGAGTGCCCTGGGCTCCCTCCCAGGCCATGTCTGTGGGCTCCCACCACCCATATGTCCCCCTCTGCCCCTGGCCCTCCTCACACGCCCTCCTCTGCCCACAGCTCCCAGCTCAGCCCAGAGCAGGCGCCAGGCCCCGGGGCCACCTCCGCCACTGGCTCCACCGCCTCCAGGAGGCTCGGGACAAGGTGAGTGCCCAGGGAGTGACCAGTGTCTGGGGACCACCGGGAGCCCCGATGATGGACAACCACCGNAGACACCAACCTGTACCTGTCCCTTCCTCTCACAGGAGTCCCGTGGCTGCCTTGAAGCCTCTGTCACATTCAACCTGTTCCGCCTCCTCACCCGTGACCTGAAATGTGTTGCTGATGGAGACCTGTGTGTCTGACTCGAGACCTGCCTGCACCTGTCCCAGCGACTTAGATTTTATTTATGCATCCCTGACTCTTCTTAATTTATTGCCACCCAACCACTATTTATTTATTTATGTGTGTGAATTATCAAACTCACAGAAGATAAAATATTTATTTTTTTACAATTTTTGTAAAAATTGTTCAAATAAATAAGAAAAATATGTTTTCTCTGCTGTGGCATGTGTGTTTGTGTGGATTAGTTTTCTCTTGTTGCCAAAACAAGGTATTGCAAACCTAGCCTCTCAAAACCGTACAGGTTTACATCCAGCTGCACGGCTCAGTGGTTGAGCATCGACCCATGAACCAAGAGGTCCCAGGGTCAGGGCACATGCGTGGGTTTCGGGCTCCATCCCCAGCAGGGGCCTGCAGGAGTCAGCCGGTCAATGACTCTTCTCATTGGTGTTTCTATCTCTCTCTCCCTCCCCCTTTCTCTCTCTAAAATCAATGAAAACACACACAGACATACACACACACGTGTCAGTATCCACAGCTATGGGTCCCCCAGGACTGAAATCCAAGTGTGCTCAGCGAGACTGTTATAGTGAGGCCCCAGGACA